CATTATGTAAAGGTACAATTCCCAATGAGAAATGTATTTGTGTTGTATACCTACAATGTACCAATAAAAGAATTTAATACAAAAAAAAAAAAAAGCTACAACACAACAGTATCTGGAAAAATGCCACTTCCTCTTTTACCGAGCATTTAATTTATATTATTTATGTCAACTGCATCATTATTTAAACTTTGGGTCTCATCTCTCTAAGGAGAATAAAACTATTCGGGGATAGAAACTTGTTTTTTCACTGGTTGCATTCCGGGCAGCAGCATACAACTGGTAAAGTCAGTATTGCATGCCCTTAATATAAGCATGCTGTGTTTATATGAATGTAATTAAGGATTTTATCACCAGAATATTACCATTGCAGTACAGAGCCTGACCTCACTTGTGATGTGTGGCTGCTTTCTTTTTGTTAAGGCCTACTCTCCCTTTCTCCTTTAGCCTCATATCTGGACAGGCTAATGAGAAAGCATATCTTACACCTTCCTATTTGAGATCCATAGGAAATGTTAGCCTATGAATCTGGAGTCTACATGGGTGGAAACTTTCCCTCAATGACACCTTCTAGCAGGCCCAGACTCTCCTTCTACTTTGCCCAAGGCAGATTGCATCTGCTGGAACTTATGACTCTCGCTTTAGTCTTTGCATGTGAGTCAAATTTCTCTCTAATTATCCATGTGTGTAGAGTATCATCCACTTCAACATCTGAGTAGGATGACCAAGAACACCCATATGAGGTAATATGAAGGGAAGAAAAACTCCATCTTTTGTGGTCAATTTGTATTGTGAGACAAAAATAATAAAATTGAACATTCGCTATCATGTTCTCTGTATCATTCAAACTTACATCTGTTATACACAGAATTGATGCATTTCTTTTAAATGTGAGATAACAGCTTACTGGGAAAAATACACAAATAGTCCATCAAAATAAAATTTTGTACTTATTACATTTACATCACGTCTCCTTTCTTTCATTTCAGTTCTGGTGTTAGGTGGTTAGATTTTAGGAAGCCTGAGGGACATTGCGGGGGTGGGTGTTTCCCAAAGTAGAATACATTGCCAGTTAATTAGAGAAAGATTCAATGTATAATACATTCATAATCATTTGTTAGGTCTCAGACTGAAGTGATCCCACAGTGACATTTTAAGCACAATGACATCTTAAGGCTACACGTTTTGCATTTTCTTTCTGCTATCTGGCCACCTGACCATCTAACTCCAGAGCAAGGCACACTGCATCCCTGACTGCCACAGCCTACAGCCTGCTGATACAGGAAGGAAAACATTCTTTAAAAATCCTCCAGCCTTGGGCTGGGGCCTGGTTTAATTTAAAAATTTATCTTTTGTACTTTTCTTACATGATTAAAGCCCCTGAGGAAACAGTGACCATCTGAAAAGGACAGGAAGACTTTTCTAAGTAACTTCTAAGTGAAGTGTTGATAAGCATCATAATTATCCCAGTTCTCCAAGAGTAATTCTTGTGTGTATAAAAATGTATCCAGACTCCCACTTGGTGCAGGTGCCTTTCTTCTCACTTGAAGGTATAATTCTCTCTTCATTTTCTTTACAATAAATTCTACCTACACTTCTGCATGACCCATGTATTTTGACTGAATTCATTCATCAAGGGCACAAAGAACTGAGGACCAAGGCAGTGATAGGTCGGTTCCTCCCTACATCAGCACCTGGCTTCTGGGTAAGACTAGGGACAGAACTAAGACCTTTCTACTGAACTATATCCCCACCCCTTTAAAAAATGATTTTTTAAACAGTCTCACTAAATTGCTAAATTGTCCAGGCTGTGCTCAAACTTGAGATCCTTCTACTCCAGCCTGCCAAGGTGTGAGGATTGCAGACATGCAGCGCCATGCCCCACTAGATTATAAATTTTCTAACAGCAAAATTTTATATATTAAATTGCCACATAAGAAATAGCTACATATTATCTTGTCCCTCTTTTCCTACTGATACTCTTGCAAAATATACAACCTCCTAAACCATTATTCTATCTTTGTGAGAAAGCTTCAGAAGAATGAATATATTCACGTTCCTGGGTCCTAGCCAAACCATGAATTAATAAATTGGCAGGATCAGAATCTCATGTTCAACAACTTCGCTTGGATTCATACCTGCCAGCCCTCTACACAGATAAAGCTGGGAGATTCTGGCAACACTTTGATTTGTATTGGACTTATTCATTTCTCAGTTGAAAAATCTTTCCCTGCCAATATATTCAATAAATTTTAATTCTCAAGTACTTCAGTTGACATGAGCCTAAATGCTCATCAAAGTGATTCTTTTAGGCAAAAGGAAATAGGACCTAGAGAAACATCCAAGCTGTTCTCCGTTTGAAAGATGTTTTTCCTCTACTTCTTGTTTTTCTATATCTATTTTACTTCTAATGTTAATTTTTTAGATTTTTCTCTGACTTCTCTACATATATGCATATTTCAATTGACTGGCTATTTTTCTTTTTGTTTCAGGAGAGAAAGCCAAACGTATGATAGAGAGACAGGGGACATTTAAAATAAAGAACATAAACTTTCAAATGGCTGTCTCCTTTCTAGAAAGGGTACAGGAGGAATTTGTTTGCTTTATTAATCATTTCATTTTAAATCCAAGAAGCAGTGCAAGACAAACGGAAGACGTCAGCAAGGAAGACGTGACAAAGAGGCTAATAAACTGCAGAGCGTTTATACCTCTCAGAAGAGCTGAGCAACATAAACTGCCTCTGGGAGTAGAAAAGGTAGCTAAGCCCCAGCAGGTTAGCACCAGGCTGGGAAGCACACAGACTGATGAGGAAGAGCTCAATCTAGAGCCCAGAACTCTTCCACGGGTGCTGCAGTCTGCTATTTATGAATGGTGTCTTCATTATTAGATAAACAAAAGGTCACAACGTCCATTGTCTTACCATGCTCCCTCTAAATGAAAAACTGCTAAGTACTGCAATTTTTTTCACTTGATGGTGTGGTTTCCAAAACAAGCAAACAAGTTTTTGTGGCTTGTGACAAGCACCAAAGTACCTGGAGTATCTTTAACGTAAATGAGATAGCCAGGGCAATTTAAAGTACCTCAAGTACCAATTTTTTACTTGCTTAACTTTTCTCACTGATAAATAAAGACCCCCGTTTCTATGTTTGTCCCCCTCAGGCTTTTATTTTTTAATATTTCATTTCCCCCATTTTGTGCTTTGAGTTGGCAGGGATATTAGTGAGAAAAACAACCTTTAAATGACATTTCACCAAACATGGATTTATTGCAGCCTCTTTATATGAAAATTAACAATAGTAAGATGCTTGTCAGTAGTTACCTTCTTGATGGTCTCTAACATGGAACGCCCTCCCTGCCAGGGCTTGGAATTCTTTCTGATGCATGACAAACTTGCCATGCTGTGCCACTTTCGGTCCTCCAGCTTCTTATGAAAAGCATTAGCAAGGAGAAGCACCGTGTCGTATATGTAAAGGTTTGAAATCTGAAAAGACATTAGATAGTGATCATTAGAATCATTGATGCCAGCCATCTAGAATAAGGAGAAAATCGTTGGCTCAGTTGCTTCTTCTGTTCCTGTCATAGATGGCTGGTTTATGGGGTTATTAAGCAGGTTTCCTTTTTTTCATTTCCCAGGCAATTTTTGCCATTGAGAATGAAGTCTTGTCTGATTGTATGCCTCAATTGGTTTTTCAGCTTATTTAGGTATGAAAGAGAAGATAAAAAAGAGAAGTCTTGACAGAGTAAAGGCTGTTAGTGTCAGACCATAGAAAATCACTGGCCCTATTTCTTTCTGGGGAAGTGAGGATCTAAGGCCTTAAGACTAGAAGGGCACACTGAATAATATATTCTCTGAATGTGTCAAATGTCTGCACTTTAATTATTCAGATGGAGAAATATCAAAGTGATCTTACATATGAGTGTCATAGGTGCAAAAAAGGAAACAGCCATCGGTATGTACACTTGTAGAGGGGAATTCTATAATGAAGAAATGAGAGAAAACAGAACCATTCATAAATATTGTAATGATCACCTATCTATACAAAATGATATAGCCATACACATGCATTGCAATTCATTGACATGAGGAGTACTACAAACTAGTAACAGCTTATAAATGTGTTTATATTAATGCTTTCTTCTTCTAAGCCAATCATGGCATTATCTTCTTTGTACACAGATTAAAAATGAACTATCATCAATTTTTGCTAAGGTCTTTGCACTCTTACAATTAAGTCTAGCATGAACTACTATCCGAAACATCAATTAATTATCAAACGTGTTTATTTTTCAAAGAAATTAGAATTTATTTAGAAAACACAAACATCAAAAGGGATCCTAGGCCAGTAAAGTCTGTTAAATGTTATTACTTCTTAGAAGAAAAAACCTGGTAGAAAATTAAAAATGATAGATCAAGGTAGTGATGGAAATTAATTTCATCTTAAAACATTCAAACTTTCTCACAGATTTAACTATTCTGCTATCACAATTTTTCCTAAAAAAGAAAAGGGAGAGTATGTGGATTGCTACTTGGTTGTAATTAATTAAGAGAGAAATCTATGAAATAGTATGTGCACTTCACAGAACAGTTCTAAAATCCAGCTACTGGGATAATTAGAGTCTGATGCTATGCACAGTTGTAAATAAGAATTTCCTAACAATACCTTATGAGGGGTTTTTATGTATATTGGGTAAATCTTTAATCATTCACATTTGCTAGGCATCATATTATGTCTATAATAATGGGAGGGAGGTTTCTTTAAAGAATCATTGAACACTCTTATACATTCTGTGAAATAAAAAAGTTTGTTCTTTATAAGTAGATACTAAGGCCGGTTGTCTTCACCCCATCCCACCCGGATAACTCTGACAGAGATTAAAAGGATGGCTTAAATCTACTATTCATGAAGTGTGAGACTTAAAAATAGTCCATGAATCAATATTCAAGTCAGATTAAGATTGTAAATACTCAATAGAAAAACATAGAAGAAACATAAAGAATGACTGTGCTGTGCTCAATAAACTAGGGAAAATCTTTCAATAGATTTTTCAAAACTCTCCTGGCTTTACTGCCTCAAATTTGCTCCTCTACTTCTCTATCATTATTTTTCACCTCCTTTTGATGGACTACTTTAAGTATGTATACAAGACTCTCTGGTAGCATCATGTGATGTGTCTTTACTTTTCTCTGACCAGTTAACTTCCTTCAATATTCAGTTCAGTGATTATCTGCTAGGACAATCCCACCTCACCATTCCTCACCCTCTCTCCCCATCCTACAGGACACTGACTGGGTCCTCTCTTCCTTTCCCAGTGCACTGATGCATACCTCTATTGAAACATACAATGCTGTTTGTTAGTATTTTTCTCACAGACTGGACTCATTCTTAAGACTTATGGAGTACGGGCTCTTTTGCAAACTTTGAGGCACATACTAAGAACATCTATGCTGGTCTTAATGGTGAGTGGTTTATTCCCAATACCTGATAGATGTTTTCAACAAATGGCTGCCTCTTCTCATCTGCCCACATTCTAAACGCTAGGACCAAGATGTGGTGGCGACAATAACCCACTCTCATATCTTCGATTTCTTTTTCAAGCAAGTCCCTGTTTTCCTTTCAAATTCATCTTCTCCCTTTTTTCTACGATCATCTACTGACCTCTCTGCCCTCTTTATTCATGAGATCTTTGACTCTTCCTTCAAAATGATCCCAAAGTGTCTTTTAGCATTTGAAAACTGTGCCTTTAATTTCTACACAGATGATTTTCCTTTCTACTTTGGCCAGGAGCCACACAAATGACTATTTGCTGGACACAAGCATATAGTATTTCTAAAATCTTTAATTCCAGTATCCCGCATCTGAGTTCTCATTTCTCTCTTGCTTACTGTCACTTGTTTTCTAACATCACTGAACCTCCAGCAGCCAATGTGACAATATTTGACACCATCTGTCACTTGCCCTGAAACATCCTCTTTCCTTCTGCTGTTTGTCATCTGGTACAGTTTCTAGGCTGCTCATCACCTCCATTCTTTTCCACTGTCCTCCTGTTTTCCAATGTTTCTGTTACAAATGTTAGTAACCAGAACTGACACATTAATGCAGATGTGATCTGACCAGGAGACAGTGTGTAAGACATTTTGTTTCCTGATCTTAGCAAAGTGCTTCTGACACAGAGTCCAAGATTATATTAAAATAGCTTAGAGCAAATCTGACTTCCACTGTGCTTGTTCTGAATTTTCCCTCAACTTAACGGCTTTGAGCAGCTGTCAAACCAGGACACTTCCATCTGGACTTCGAGTAATTGATTTTGAACCTATACTTTATCTCTGTGAAATTTAAACTTTAAGGCTTACCAATCAGTCAATATTAACTATTTGGACCTTGATTATGTAATACAACATAAGCTTTCTCTCCTAGCTTTTTTTCATTTGCAAATTTGATAGGCAAGTTTTATCCGTTTTCATTCATGCAGTGGTAAACTATTTGAAAATATTTGCAACAAGGACAGAATCTTGTGGATGACCACAGAGTTCCTTCCATTTCAAAAGTGAAGTATTTATCACTGTACTTTGAATATTCATCTGATGACAAACTTTTCAAAATGAGTGTAAAAGCACCGGCTGGTAGGCTGTACATATCAGGAAGTACTCAAACATACAGAATATACCAAGACATGTTCTCCTTATAGCAGTATTTCTTGAAGATTTGATCTATTCAGGAAGGTAAATCCATTTCACTTGAAGGATCAGAGAAAAACAACTAAATAGTTTAAGTGCCAAATAATGTAAAACTAATTTTAATTTTATAAAAACCCATATTCTATAACTTTTAAAGGTAATAAGGTTTTAAAATATTTTGAACTTGTTTTTTCTGAGGCCAGCGACTACTATCTCCTACCTTTAGAAGCCAATCTAGCTAGATTTTTCAATGTGCTCACTACAGATGAGAAAATTTGTCAAACACCATGTAAAACTCAATACATAACACACAGCTTTATGATAGCTTTCCCATTTGAAACACCTATCCATAAGGGCTTAGTTTGGCTTAGCTTGTTCATAAGGAAGCCCTGTTTTCTTACCAAAGTACACGAAACCACTTACTTAATAATATATAATTTGTCTAAATATTAGCATTTGATACAATAAACTATGTCAGAATCTTTTCTACATCCTCTTGAAAATAAAGACAACATGGGGCTGGTGATTTAGCTCAGTGGTTCAGTCACCTGCCTCAAAAGCGCAAGGTCCCAAGTTCGATCCCTGGTACCAAAAAAAAAAAAAAAGAAAAGAAAGACAACAAGCCAATCGCTTGTACTTAGGCCCGCTTCCAAACTATTTCTCTTGTGCTTCTAAATTATTAAAAAGAATCACATCTACTGGTTTAGTGATTGTTCTGAGCAGGTATTTGTTAAGCCTCACTTAGAGCAGGCACATTCTTAAAATCTTCAACACCCTGGTTCTTCTAAAACAGTGATTTGCTTTTCTTCTGATGACTTCTACTCTAACATTCCCTATTTGAAGACAATTTTTCTTGGGTGGATAAAACAGACTGGAATGCAAAAAGACTGGAATCTTTCCATTGTCTCTTCATTAGCAGCTAAGCTAATATTGGTTTCACCAGGCAACAAATGGACTACTTTCATCTTGTTGCATATTATGTGAAAATTCTGCTTTCTATGTGAGAAGTTTTCTTTATTATTTATTTTACAATATCAGCTAATCCTTGATTTTAGTTTTTCTGGAACTAATTTAAAGATATACAAAACTTGTTTTCAGTTCTTTCTAAATTTTAATTCTCTTTCTACATATATTAAAGTTAGTACCATGCAGTGACCTCTACACAGGCCTCCCCTCCCCTCTCCTCTCCTTACATCAATTAATGTGATTTTATAGTTGAATATCGATTTTAACAGGTCACTTGGGTCATATTTGCATAATACTTTCTGAAAGGTTTTTAGATTACACACTTTTGAATTCTGAATTCTGAATTAAAAGTCTATCTGTAGTCATATTTCCTTGCATTGTTTCTATAAATTTGAAATTGAGGATGTTACTTCTAGAGAATTCCTAACTCCCCAATTATTATTCAATGGTGTCTTGTTGATTAGAATTTAATGCAAAATATCATTTTACTTTGTTGCTTCTGTATCTGCAGTGAGATGAAATTTTTCCACCAAGGCAAGGGTATACATTAAATGCTCTGCTTTTAGTGGAATATTTTAAAATTCAAGGGCCCTATATTCATATACTATTATTTATAATTAATTATATCTTCATATACAAAAGGTTCTGTAAGTTTTTCTCTACTATATTAAATATTTAGTCCAATTGTAAGAAACACAAAGGGAAAGTAATATACAAAAAATCCTCAGAGAAAAAGTAAGTGTCTTATTTTCTCCCATTTTTGTATTTGAGGGGAGTAAGATAAAGATGTGGGCTAGGGAGCAGCTGGTGATTCCTTATACCCTAAATGCACTAGGTAATTTGGGAACACAGAGATAAATAAAAATCTTTGTTTTCTGATGATTTGAAATGGAAGGATGGTGCTCTTGGGTAAATGTGCTTTAAGGTACTTACTGCTTTCCCTGAATGACATAGTCAATGATTTTGAAGTTGTACTTTCATTTCTTGTCAATCCTTTTGATAAGAAGACCTTCAGTATTTCCTAATTTTCTAAATCAAAATTCTGCCATGCTTTTCTGCATTTGGAATGCTATCATTTTGGCATCAACTATGCTGATGACCAGTTAAAATCTACAGATGGCCCTGAAGTCTTAGTGGGCCTTGTTAGCGATTGAGAATGGCTTACATTGGCCGTTGCCTTCTCCTTAACTACATCCAAATACACAGTCACAAAGGTGTAAAGCACTGAGGTTGATGGGCAGAAAATTATGGAAAAGCATATTGTGCAATTTGATGATTTCAGGTCCTAGAAGTGACTTACTCTAAATTTAAAATCCAGTAGAAAACAGAAATTTCTATAGGCAATGATACTGGAGCCACACTTCTTATTACACTGTTAATAAATATGAAAAAATAGTTGAATGAACTCTAATTCATTTTTTTAAATCTCAAAAGTAACTAAGGATAGGCTGTGGGGTTAGCTTTCAAAAAATAAGTACTTTTGTCAAATCACCTTATTTGTTTAGTATCACTGGCAATAAACTAGTTGTATTTCCAAATTATTCAAACGGAACATCTCTAAGTACCAAAATGTTTCCCACAGTGGACATTTTCAATGATTAAGTTTCTAAAAAATATAATGATTTCTGGACTTTTCAAATTGCTCCTGACTTTAATATTTGCTGGTGTGTCCAAGTAATTGTTCAAATATTCACTTATGTGGTAGTGTCCTACTACAGCAACACCCTTACAACTTAGACCTGATTGTACAGGAAACCCCCACCCTGAGATACTTAAGTCACTGGGTCCAATTGATTCTCCCTTTCCCTGTCTCATGCCTTGCTAGAAAGTGTTCTAGGGCTTCCTGCAGTTGCTGGAATGCCTGCTTTTTCTGACACCCACTCCAAGTACTACACAGATTGAGATCTTCACTGCAAAGAGAAAAAAATCTGATAAGATTTTTCTTAACAAAAAGAAATGGACTCTGGGTATTTAAAGGGTCTTCTTATGAGTAAGCTGCAGGGAGTTGATGTTCTGCATTTTACCATTCAGAAATTTTATTTACTTTCAAATTCTTTGTTGTGTTCTTGATAGTGAAGTTTTCAACTCTGTGGTATCTGATTTGTCTATGTCTATATAATACAACAGAACTTTTTGAATTTTAAATAGTATTTTAGTAAAGTTCTTCAAACTGAAGCTTATCTTTAAAAAAAGAATAAACATCTATGTCTTTATGCCAGAAAAATCAAGTAAATTTTTAGCTTAATAATTTAGAATTTGATATTGGGAGTATCAATCAGAAATTCTACTAAGGGAAATTTTGTGGACCTATTTGCTAAGAAAAAAAATCCCTTCATTTAATGTATTGTTATTAAGTGAGGTATTTTTTTGCTAAGAGCAAAAGGATCAAAGCACAGATCTTTAGCACTCTCTTGTATTAGACTTACTATTTCTGGAGGGGAATGCTCAGAAATGATAGCATGTATAATTGTGAATCTCATGCAACTCAAATAGCTCTCAACAGAGCACCCAGGAAGAAATACTGGCTTTTAGAATATACCTCCATGTTCTGAGCAAACGGATCCTTTGGATCACACAGTGTTGAAGATATTCGATGGTTGCCACGGAAACATCGCTGACTTATGTTCTGGGGGACTGGAAATGTCTGCCGAATAATTGTTAACCTTCCAATTGACCTTCTCACAAGTTCCTGTACATCCACATCATTTATTTCCTAGAAGATAAGGAGTGGAAGTGTTAGAGATTTAATTTAATACAGTAACAAACCCAAAACCACAAATGAGTTGTTAGCTGGAAGCACTGTGGGGTTTACCAAACGAAAACAGCACATCAACTCATTGGAAGTTGCTTTTTGTGCTTTATATTGCATACATTAATGCCTGAATAATTCCTAATGGAGCAACTCACTTTAATATAATCCATTAATGATAACTTTATAATTTATTATTTTTTAAATATAGAAAAATAGAAGTGTGGTCAAAATACTGAGCAAAGTAAAAAAAATGCTGATGGTTTATTATTCATTAATGGCTTTCAAGATAATTTTGAGTACATTACCTAGAAAGATACTTGTAATCTAAGAGTATAAACATGCTTCTTAACAATGAAAAATGAGGCTTTTAAATGAGATGGGAAGAGAAAGCAAGAGGAGAGTTTTTTTAAAAAAAGATTTTCTAATTATTTCTCAAAGTTATTGATGTTGTTCCTACATTTCTCTTGCTAAGGAATAGTTTCAAAATGCTGACTAATTGTTGAATGAATAAGTTAGTTTTATAATTGTGGTCTGGACATAAAGGTGAAAAGTTATATTAGTTAATTCAGACTGAAACAGGCTGGGTGAGGAAGAAACTCAGTACTCTTCACATAAATAAATTTTATTTAGCATACGAGTATTTGTCAAACTCAAAGAAATTGCAATTTCTACTTCCTTCTGCCCCAACTTCCCAACTCAATTAAATTTTAAGTTTTGGTTCAACAATATATGTGGAAGTAATAAAAAAATGAAATATTTTTACAACATATATTTGTTTTAAGATTTAGTTCAACAATAGATGTGGAGGTAATAAAAAATGAAATATGTTTACAACATATATTTGTTCTAATTGGAATTAGAATAGAAATGATCAAAGTTGACTCTAGTTTTGTAATAGTCTTTTTATTGAGGCAGCTTGTGCTTGATAGTGTCCATGTGGAAGCTTTAAATTAGTGAGGCCTTGGCAATTAACAAATTATTGGTGTTAATAGATTAGTACAACCATAAAAATAAAAGATTTGATACAAGATAAATTTTGGACTGTGGTGAAAGTATTTCAGTTTTGATTTAAGAAATTACTGTTGAATAATGAAAGAGAAAAAATAATTAACATATAAATTTTTCTTTCCTAGGCTAATTATATAGTATTATTCTTTGTAGCAAATATTAGCTGTAAAATTCATCCTTTATTTGGGATCTTTATGAAATATAGATTTTTGCAAAAATAAAGTGACACCTGCCATCAACTGTATCCAGTGTAATATCAGGAATTTCTGGGCGATTAATCCTTAATGCACCGTAAAATATAGTTTGTCTCATTTAAAAATGCCGTCTTTTTCCTTTAATCGGTGTCATTTCACTGGCCACCAAAATCTCTGGCAAAGAGTAGCTCACTCTTTAATTTTCTGTCATCTGCTCACAAAGCAAAATTAAAGTATCCTGTCAACTCCATTTTAGTCCCTAATGTTAACCTGCAATCTTTTAAAGGTAAATAATATATTGCTCTTCTATGTCATTTTATTTTTTTTAAATTCCATATTGTGTAGTCAAGAAGTTTCGCTTGAAAAGTAGTAAAAAATTGAACCACATTTCTTTTTTATATTAAGTTCAGTTATACATGTGGTCGTTATTTTTTTAGCAATACAGATTTATCAAAAATTTTGTTGAACAGCACCATCTCTCTATACCGTTTACGATTAACTATGAATCAGTACATTAAAATAGAAATGTATAATTAATAAATGCCAATTATACTTTAGGAAAAATACTACTTATTATCTAATTTTGTGTTAAAAAGTGACCCTAAATCAGACAATGTCTATTCTTACTTTATAACTAAAGAATCAAGGAGAGTCCAAGCTCTTCATTTAACATACTTTTTATTCATAGGATGAAGTTATAAATGTAATAAAAGAAGAATTCTCTGATTTAATTATACAAGAAGTCTATCTTTCCTTACAGGAATTACCTAGATTAATATTTATGAATGATGGGAATTAAAACTATAGAAATATATTATTTCAACATTTAATAGTTTAGTGATTCCATAAGGAATGATGAAGTCATCTAGCATGAGTTAAAGTCTAACAGGTCTATTTTCAAACACACAAAGGGATGGTTACCTTTTCTATTTTCCATAAGCTTAATTTCTCAGGTGCCTAACCTTAAGTAAATCTGAAGAAATGTCAATTTGAATTGAATATATTTTGTCTATTATTATTTGGGGAAGGAAAAAGAAAGTAATTTTCTGAGAGGAAAGAATCTGCCATTCTGAATGAAAGTAACAGACAGTCTGTCTCAAAAACATCACATGCAATTTTAGGTTTGACAATTGATCTTACAAACAGTTTCATAGTATGAAATCATGAGTAGGAAGCGATTTTATATTTATGAAACTTTTGCATTTCAAGAGGTACACTTCAAGAGTGACAGATGCAATACTGTATAAACACTGAAAGACAAATGATCACTTAATTTAAAAAGAAGTCCTTCTAAATGAAAAACAAGTCTAAGTAAAGGTCTGTATTAAAATGTAAAACTATTGTTACACTTATTATCAGTGTTGTGCCAATGCTCTGAATTTGAAAAATAATGTTTAAAATGTAAGATTTTAAAAAATAATCATGTGACAAACTAGTTTATCAAACAAGCATTTGTACCCTGAGCCCCTAAAACCATCAGATATGTTAATTAATCTCTATAAAAATATGCAGAAAATTTCTGAAATTTAAAAAATTTTAAAAATCAAAATTATAAAATTATTTGTCTTTGTATTTGTGATTCTGCAAATTTAGGATGCAGAATTCATATTGCAATTAAAAGTGAGTATGTTGTAGATAGGTAAGTTAATTAGGTATCTTGTAGACAGTTAGATAGGGTCCCCCTCAAGGTGCCAGTCCTCAAGGCACCAGCCCCTTCCAGAAGCCAACACACCAAGGAGCCAACCTGGAGAACAATTGAGCCACATTTACTGGTTAGCATTATAAAAAGAAGAGGCACTACTTCCCCTAGAGATAGCAGGGATTGGTATTCTAAATGGGAAATTCCTTGTATGTGACTTGTTTCCCACTTGATCCCCATTTAGTCAATATTACCTGGGTGACTGTACTTGTAATCTTATTGGTTGGTCATGGTTTTATCCCACTTCATGCTCACTTTGTAAATTTTCATTGGGTCTTATAGTTTTGTCCCACTTTGTACCCACCTCAGTTCATGACTTTGTGGTATAAAACACCTTTGAAAAGCAGGATGGGTGGGCAGGCAACCCACTTTCTGGTCCCCCTTCTGTCTCTCTTAGACAGAAGCTATCTTTCTCTCAAAAAATTTTCCTACTCTTAATCTCCATTGTTTCTAGAATTCAGTCTTCAATTTTAGGGAACACAAACTCGCCTTTCAGATATCTAGTAGGTTTGGGAGTTACATCTATTCCTCCTATATCAAGTAAGTATCTATATAGCAAACTTGTTATCTTTACTTCTTTAGAAGAGTGTAATAGACTTTTGTCCTCAGGAAATTTACTTGGATAATCAAAAATTACTATTAAGATTCAAGTCATTATGCCTAAGAAATATTCATCTTGATTATAGTTTATTGTAGAGTGAACCATACACTGTGTATGGCCAAGAAAAAAAATACCTGCTGGGAATGCAGCTTCCCCCAGAAACAGCCACTTTCCAGAACAATCTTTTGGAAGAATTGAGCCATTCGTGAAGATTTGTAGTATACCAGCTTTTGATTGAAATTACTAGATTTTAGGGGAAGGAATGGCTCTTTAAATCCATTAGGCCAGATGCCAATCTAGACTATATATATTATTAAAGAAAAATATTTTCTTATTTTCTCTTTCTCATTTGTTTCTGCCTTTGCCCATCCTTTCTTCTCATGGTAAATATTCAATAAATGTTGATAAGTTAAAAAAATGAATGAATGGCAAGATTTTACCAAACCATCTTTTAAGACTGATACTTGAAATTTTAATTTTAGACATTGGGATGTTTTAAATGTGTTAATTCTGAATAAAGTAATTATTACTAGTGAGATTTTAGAGTCTTCTATGTGGATATCATTTGAAAAGATGTTTCTTTCCTAATATGTATCTATTCTTCACACTGTAGCAAAAATGATCCTTTGATTCTTCTATAAAGTTTAGCATTGCTATGGAGCAATCAACAAATAGTGTTGAAATCTGGAATAAACCAACTTTAAGTTAATACCAGCAGGCAGAGGAGCAGAATGCAACTTTCTGCTTGACAGACTAGTAGTGGGTAGTTCAATTTATCAGGAAGGTAGAAAAATGAGAAACATTGACTATACAAGTAGGCTTTTAAAATCTTTAAAGAACAGCAAAAATCCACAAACCAACAACTCCTCCCTTAACTGTAATATTCAGTAGTGACTAATAGAAAATAATGGCTTAAACTATTAATTTTTCAAAGTCAGTAAAATCCTATCAGGACATTTAAGGTCAGGTTAATATTATCAGGAATGAAAGGATGCATAAAGCATTATGCTTTTTGAAGCTCTAAACAGTGTCTATCTCTTTATCTGAATTTCTAACTTTGTAAAACTTAAATAAAGTGCTAGGCCATCTGGTTCAGGGCCCTGAAGGGATATGATAACACTCATATGAAAAGACTGTTCTGAGCTGGATCCATTGATTGCAGGGAGAAGATAAATACCATTACCAAGTCCTAACGTATGATTGATTGCACCATATGAGCTGGCACTGCCTCTTATTATTATAACATGCTTAGTGCAAACGAAAAAAATACATTGTTTTCAAGTTTCTACATCAATTTGTATCACAAAGCACAATGCCAACTTTGATTTATACTCCCTCTCTAAGAAACTATTGGTGCAATCAGATTAAATAAATGTTTGCAACTCATTTTAAAATTAGGAACAAAATAATAGCTACACAAACCAAACTAGCCAGAGTCACATTCTCCATGTTCAGTCGAAGTGGGCTTCTGCATGTTGTTGAGTTATGTAGTTGTTGCTTTCAGAGTTTACTATCATCCTAACAAATTGGAGAAATTCATTTTTTTAATTTATGGAAACCACGGTAAATCATAATTTTTAAGATCAATTTGTAGAAAGAAGCATATGAAGGAAAAGTGTGTAAGGAGAGGGTGACCTCAAGCTTTCGGAGGTGTATTTAAAGAGAATGCAGTGGCTGAGTGGAATCACGTGGAAGTGAGAGCTGACCTTAGACACACTGGCTGATAATAATTTCCTTGAAAACCTGCTTGTTCTCTGAGATTTTACACAGTTCAGAAGATACAATTCTTAACCAATGTAAATGCTGCGGATTATGAACATTGTATTTTTCAAAGAAATGACGCCTTTGCTGAAGGAATAGAAAGTAAGACTCTGAACAAAAACAGATAAGCATTTCTGGAATAATAAAAATAAAGTTGGGATAATTTGCAGTTTAAAAAAACAAGTTTAAAGGCAGAGAGAATTGAGGTCTATTCTTTTAACAATTACCATTTAGATTGCCTTGTTTATATGCATGTTTTGTTTTGCAAAAAGTAACCAAAATTATGGAATGTTTATGTAAAGGTATTTTCCTTCCTAATGTTTTATGTAATGATATTTAATAAATATAACAGATTGCTAAAGTAATATTTATAAAAGATGCCATAAAATAAAAATTTTTATTATTCTTCCCATACTATTCTTCACCAATGAAATATGTCAATCAACTCAGAGTACACCTATACAATCTAAAGGGGTGAGTTCTTCTAAAGTACAAATTGACCCTTAAATAGTGAATACATGACCATATTACTTCTATTCACACCTTTAAGATTCATATAACAATGGTAAAAGCCAAATTAGATGCAGAAAAACAGTAATTTATGGGTACCTTCACAATCTTATCAAAAAAATACAAGGAAATGACGCTCTCCATTTAAAGATTGTTTTGTTTTGTTTTATTTTGTTGAGACAGGGTCTCACTTTGTAATTTAAGCTGGCCTTAAACTCTAGGCAAACCTCCTGCCTCAGCCCCTGAGTGCTGAGATTACAGGTGTGCGCCACCACAGCAAGCAATGATTTTAAATATTAATTTTTTTAATTAAGAACAAATCATGTTTCTTTTGTAGTCAGCTCTGTTAACTTAAATGAGTAAAATGATTCCAGCTTATTTAGCATCAAGGAATCTGTGTAGTCTATTCCCTATCAGAAGTTAGGTACAAGATAAAAATAGGGATTCGGACGATTCTTTATTTTTAAAAATGCAATCTAGGAAATAATTAAACTAAAGACAATGGCTAGTGGGATAAAATAATTCCCAGAAGATTCCAACTGAGGTAGTGGAAATTTCAAAAATATAATCTGTAAAGAGAATTATCAAAAAACAAGAAACAAAAACAACTGAATCAGTACATTGGAAAAGGCTGTTATAAAAATCCCACTATGCCCTCTAAAAATTATACAATACTTGAATTGTCTAATTCCTTTGAATCTTCTTTTCCTTACCAAAAAAATAGGAATAAAAATGAACCCTCATGCCTTGTGGTCCTTCCTCTATCCTGATCTTAATTATTGTGAATTTTCCCAATTCAGCAGAGCACTTGTGCCCTGGCTGGGATTCTAGGATGGAAAATTCAGAGGTACGAGAAAATTAGAGGACATCAGAATCTCATTGAAAAAGAAATCTTACATGTATATGAAGGGAAGCCTGGTGACTCTCAGGAAAGGCCGTGGTAGGAGAGACACCGAGACGGATCACTCAGATCTGAAGTCTGGCAGTCGGAAAGCAGATTTGTACGGCCTTTCCAGGACCCTGGGCTAAAGAGGACCATTCCACATTCCATCTCCAAGGTGTTTAGGAGAAACAATGTGAAACTGGGAATTATTTTTATTATCTCCCTAAGAGAAGAAAATCTCTTCTCCTCTGTGGACCTCCACCCTCAGTACTTCATGTGTTTACTATTCAGCAAAATCATGTGAGACAGCAATCTGTGGACCTTCACAGAAAAGTATCATCACTGAAGTGCCATTTAACAAGCGTCATTTGTAAGGAACTGTGCTAAGAGATTGGATAATATTTTGTTTATTTTTTATTATAAAGCTGTAAATATTATTATACTATAATATAAATAAAATGAGGCACAAAATGATTATATGTCCACAGTAATATTTAATAAGTTTTATACCCAAGATTGGTTGTATTTTGCTGATTACAAAATTGGAATTCTTACCCCAAATACTATTTTGTCCCCCAAAATAAATTTTATTATTTTATAATTATTATCCAAAGATAAATAATGTATAATCTTTACTCATAAGCAACAGCTATGATTGAACCATGTTTTGTTGAGGATCAGTTTATGTGATCACGTATTTGTCCAGAACTCATTTGGCCATTGTTCTTTCTGATTGTGACTCACAGGTGCTAATGGGACAACTTATTTCACAGCATTCTCAGGCAGTAATGTATTTTTCATCTTATGTATTGTCTGCCCAAAAATGAAAAATCTACAATGAATTTTCCTGGATTTTAAAACAGTTATACTTCTTCATGAAAAGGCAAAAAAATCTGTTTTCCATTGATTCATATTCATGTGCTGAACTATTTAATCCTCATGTAAAGGGGGTAGATGTGAAAGTTCTAGAAACAACATTAAAATACAAATGGAACACAAGCACTCCACTGGGAGGAATTCACTTTGCTTACAAAGAAGAGCTCTACTTTTCATAAAGTTGATCTCTCTCAGCAGACAGTATGTGCCAACAGGAAAAGCTGCAAGATACTCAGCTCAGCGGGGAAGACTTTCTCCATTTACTTTATTCATACAAAACCCTTTATCATCTTTAAAAACTCTTCATTCTATTTTTATTTAATAGTGTTCAATAAGCTGAAAATTTACTTCGTGTTCTGGTCTCTCTTAGAAATCCAAGGCCTTAGGAAACTCTGCAACTATGTATATGAACACAGGACACAGAGGGGACAATAAGGGGTCGGTGGCTTTACCTCATTTATAATGATCCAGTGACAGTCAAAAGCAACCAAATTGGTCTCCACAACCTAGAATAGAAAACAACCAGATCTCAGCATTAATTGGGAAAAACAAATCAAGCTCAATGGATGTGTTTTGTAAGTGGAAAAAAATGATTCTCACATTTGAAATTTCTTTGTGCTCAAAAAAGATGTAAAACCATTAACAAAACACTGAAGAAGTTTTTGCATTTGACTCGGAAATGGACTGCAGATTTGCTAAATAAATCTGAAAATATAACTCATAAAAAAATTAGAAAAAGAAGTTTCAACAAAACTACAACAGTAACACTGTTCTGTGATTTCACAGAGTACAAAGGAATTCTAATCTTAAATCATATTTTATATTCCAAACAACCTTTGAGGTCTTTTTGTAAATGTCTAAATATGTTCAATCTGACTCAATATTTTTATATTCTGATACTTCCTGTTGTATATGTTTACTAGTCTTGAAAAAGTAAACTGTACTCTGTTCTCTTAGAAATCTTCATATCATATGTACTGAATATGTACATAGTTTTTACCTTGCTAATCAGATGAAAAGAAATTATGCACACCAAAAGAAAAGAAAATAATATGTGGGTAGAAACCTTCGTTAACTAACTAGACATTTATTCTAAATTACCTTTGGCTTATGCCAAAAAAGTATGGAGTGTGTATGTGTGTGTGTGTGTGTGTGTGTGCATATGTGTGTGTTTGTGGGAGAAGACTGTGTGTGCATATTTTCTTAATTCCTATAATATATACTCTAGGACAAGCTCTTATGATTCAGGTCATAGGTATAGAATAGGTGAGTCTGCACTGTAAGAAATTTAGTTGTTTTTAGTAATAATACTTGAAGATTTAGTTTCAAATCGAGATGCTTTCTAATAACTAGCATGGAGTCGTTACGAAGTGTGAACTGCATTTTGGTAGGTATTATTTGTCTTCCTGAGAAATGCCTACTGAAAGATGCACCGAATCATAAGAAATACAATTGGATATGTATTTGCTATGTGATTTGATGTTTTCTCAAAGTATATAATTCTTAATAAGTCCTTATGACCTTACTGAGGCACATGTACATAATGTATTAACAGAGAACTGAGAATGTTATCTTTTTTGAAGTTTCATCATTATTATTATTCTTGAAGTATGTGCATGTTCAACTTATGGTTGAAAACTATAATAGAAAATATGACCCACAGTAATTTCTAGTTTTAGCTTCAAAAAGAACTTTTTATTTATATCAGTAATGACAACATTTATTTCTAATTTTCTGGTTATTTTTCAATAATAGTAGAGACTTATCATCAATTATTTACTAACAATAAAAAGCATTAAAAAATAAGTGGGGGGCTGGGGATTTAGCTCAGTGGCACTATGCCTGCCTTGCAAACACAAGGTCCTGAGTTCAATCTCTGGTACAAAAAAAATAAAAAATAAAAAAGAAAGAAAAGAAAAGAAGTAGGGATTCCATTATAATTCAAAAGAATAGGGGCTGGGGATTTAGCTCAGTGGTTCTGCTGCCTGCCTCGCAAGCACAAGGTCCTGAGTTCAATCCCCGGTACCCCCCCCCCAAAAAAAAGAATATAAACCAGAGACTCAAATATAAGGGCAACAGGTCTCTGGGTAAACAGCAGAGACATACATATGTAAGGAGAAACCTAAAACTACAATATGAGAACAGGAAGAGCTCAGAAGGAAGAAACATGAAAGCCATGTCATAGAGGTTGAAAGTACTTCCGAAGTACTACTAATGGTAGAAAGAAGAGATGACTCAGTTTATCCTACATTGTCCTTATTTAGATGGTCTGTACCACCTGGCTAGATTAAGCAAAATTCAAGCTGTTAGAACTCTACATTGCCTATAGACATTGTTAAGGTGTTGGTATAACAACATTTATAGGCCACTAAAGGGAAACTTACTGGTAATTTGTCTACACCATAAACCTAATTTTTCACATTTTAACTTGAAATACTCCTTCAGGTGAAAGCATAAAACAACCTTGAGGCACAAGACACAATTTTGTGTTTTAATAAAGAAGAAAGGCAAGGCAAATGTGATGTTGCACACTTGTAGTACCAGCATTCTGGAGACTGAGGCAGGAGGATAGCTGTGAGTTTGTAGCCAGCCCAGGCTACATAATGAGTCAAAGGTAGCCTGAACTAGTAGTGAGAACCTGTCTCAGAAAAACAAAAGCAAGAAGGAGGAGGAGGAAGGGTCTGTTACAGCCTCAGTCAGGCTCTGAAGCTCTCATTCTAAAGACATTAGTCCAGATGCTTCCTTCACATTCAGGTTGCTAAATGAAATAAAATATTCTCTGCCTTAAGAAAAATGAATGAGTGGATACAAAGTTTATTAGAAAAATTAGATAATATGAACAGGGTAACAGTTCCAATTGACTTCAACTTTGAAGCAAAATTGAGAATTCTTGTGGTAGAAAATGCTAGACGATGATCAAAATCCATTCTGGCCTTCTCTGAGGATATGAGGCAGGCCACATCTCCCATCCTTTCCTTCTGGGATGAACTACAAGGCCATGTGCCTGGGCTGCAGCCAAGAGTATGTGAGAAGAGATGAGGTGTGTCTCTTCCAAGCCCGATCCATGCTTTTCAGCTGCTCCCTATGTCTTCCAAAACCTGAGATCATGAGGTCTCATCCACAATTACCTGAGCATTTGGAATAGACCCAGGGCATAGAGCAGCCCCTTCTCCCAGACTTTCTGCTTTGAAATAAAGGTCTGTTGCACAGAGACATTGCATTATGAAAATAATTGTTAAAGAAATTTATCCCAGCTTACCTAATGCAAAGCATTTTTATTAACCACAGATTTTTACATTTTTCTAATCTTAGTAAATTGTGATAAACATACTTACTAGAGTAACTTTTAATTCTGTGGTTTTACAGGCATGATTTCAAAATCATGCAATACTTGTTGGTTTTTCAAAGGACAATGAATATTGAGAACTTTTTTATAAGCATATTTTTCATCGCGTAAGGAAAATAAATTCTACTAGAAAGTCCTTAAGAATAAAAATATAGATATGTCATCTCCATTTGATTATATAACACAGTATATGCATACACACATACAGCTAAAACCTCTTGTAATACTGTGACAAAATGTTTTGAAGAAGCTTGAAACTTTTGACTATAATGTTGTACACAGAAAGTCAGTGTTTTCATTTATTATCTGAGGAAATGCCCACTAAAAAGAAATATAATTTCCTTAGGTCTAGGTTAACTTTTTCATGCATAAACAATAAGCTGGCATGAGTTCACTGATTTTTCTAATTGAATGCTGCTGAAAGTGAATAATGTTAAAAAGTCACAAATTAAAAATGTAACTGATATCGGTGATGCAAGGAGCATTTGAAAAGGGGCATAAAATGATGACAGGGAGTTCAATAACCTAGACCTTGGAAACCTAGTAGGCTTTTAGTTCTTTCACTTAAGTGACTAATGTAAGTATCATTGTAGGAAGTCTACATATATATCTGCAGAGAGGTTAAAACTTACAGTAGAATTCAAGAGAAGATAAAAAAGCATGATAGTATTGTTTACCCTTCTCATATCTCATCTTGGGCTACCACACAGTGAGTATTCTTAGGAAAGACATATTTGTATTAAATGAAATTCTGAGTTCTTAGTATACATAACAAAAGGCAACTAATGTAAATCTCAAATCAATTCACCTGATTGGTATTTTCTGTATATTTATCCCTTTCAACTGGATAACATATTTAAACTGAAATAATGTCCTACCAAACTAGAAGAGCAAAATCCTAGATTTTAGGAATTATCTTATGATATCTTAGAGTTTCTAAAGCCTTCATATTTATTTCCACAGTTATGTTAGAACTCAAACACAGAAAATTATTTCCTTTTTCTATCTTTTTTGCCTAAGTAGCACATCTCCTAATGTACCAGTAAAGATTTAAATTCAATAAATGGAATTATGCAATTTGATTGAAATTTTCTTTTCATATTTCTATTGGAATTCATTTCATATCCAAGCATATCATTATTTTAGTTATTTAGTCTCATGTTGATTCTAAAAAATGTTTTACAAGTTAGTAAACGCTAGTTAGTGTGTGTTTGTTTGTGCAGGAGATTGAATACAGAATTTTGTGCATGCTAGGAAAGTGCTTTATGACTACCTGCATCCACATCAACTCCAGTTCACCCACTTTTTAAGATGTCATTTTAAGATAATGTCTCACTAAATTACCCAGGCCAGCCTCAAACTTGTGATCAACCTGCCTCAGCCTCCTATGTAGCTGATATTACAGGAATGTGCCTCCAAGTGCAACCTAGTTGTGCTTTTTACTTTTATTTATTTTTATTTTTTTAGTTGTGCTTTTTAAATGAAACTTTGAAAAAGTTTTCAATCATAATTAAACACTCAAGGTACTACAAATAATATTTACTACCATCATGAATATAAAGTCTGCCTAAAAGATCATACTATATTACTATACGTGGGGCACTAAAACAAATTATAAATGGGGGCCTTAGTATATTTGGTTATCAAAGTGACAGGAGGAATGGAAATATGGATTTTCTTTGGCCATCTGTTCTTTTCTTCCTCCTGTTACATAATTCTCTTTTATCACTAGCCATGCATACATTAATAGTGTAAAAAGACCATGCATCCTACTTGTTCCTATGGATTCAATTCCATAATGTAATTATGACAAATGAGGCTGTCCTACCTCCTGAGAACCTGAGCTTCCTCTAAGGGAATTTAGAAAAAAGGGTGGGGAATCAAGTCCTGTCAGGAAGAGGAGCAGTGAATAAGGACAGACCATCTGTCACTGGCAGGAACTTTAGAACTTCTGAGTCTTTAGAAAAGCCCGGCAATTTATCACCATGTCTTCCATCCTCCATTCTCAAATCCTCAGATGTGCTAAATATAAGGCAATCTGAAGCACAGAAATCAACTGCACTGCCAGAGCATGCATCTCACTGCTAATAAATGTGGAACAGTTCCTACAAGTGCAGAAGACAATTTAATTGACTAAACAATAACAGCAACATGCTGTTT